TTTGGATCGAAGGGGGCCTTTGGGTTTCAGCATCCTGTAAGACTTTATTTACCCATTTCTAAGCATCAAGAGTATCTGCAGAGTTCCGGGGAGAGGGTGCTGGCCAGTTTCCCCGTGCAAGCCACCATTCACTTCTATCACAATGAGTCCAATTCAGATGAGGAGGAAGGAGCCCAGCCCTTCCGCCTTCAGTGTCAGGAGGCGCACGATGGCCCAGGAGGAAAGGGCAGAGACCGGCTGACAAACCCAGGATGGCAACCTGGAGGCTGCAGTGGCCTCAGTGGTAAGGGTTCGCTCCACCCCCCTGACTCTCTGGAGGATGCTGGGTACCCCTCATCCAAATAAGTCTGTCTCTCCTGCACCAGACCAACTCACATGTGCCCTATGGGACAACCCTTGGGGACAGACGCGCCAGGACACTTTGCATTTCAACTGGGTGTACAAGGACTTGACTTTCTCTGGCCAGCGCCCCACTCGTGGCAAGGACTCAGCTTTTACTAATCCTTCTCCTAGTGATTCTTTGTGCCTCATTTATACCTTTGAGAAAGGATTCTAGGACCAAGAGGTTTGCATCCACATGGATTGCTATCAGGCGGGGCCAACTTTCAAAGTATGTTCAGCAATGTCACTGTGCTGATCAAACAACAAATTATTCCATATCGATTAATAACCCACCCTCGCCTCTCACTTAACCTGAGACCCTTTATTTGGCTTTTTCCACTTTTGTAAAAATGATTCAGATATTGTCCAAGGCTGGTGTGGTTGCTGAGTGACATTCAGAAAAATAAAAACTTATTTATAAAAAGCACACAAACACACTGAATAATTTCCGTATAAGTAACACAAATAAAAAGATAAGGATCTGGGGGGGGACCATTCTGGATAAAAACACATGACGCTTGTCTAAGGGCTGTGTGTATGAATAGGGAGACGAGCTTTAACTCTTAGTTGGGGACCGCTTGGGGCTTCCTACTTGACTAGAGTAACACTGTTTTCAATCAAAGTACCTAATGTAATATTATTTTCAGCTTTTTATACTTTGATGACCAAATGAGTGTATTTGTCAAGGCTTTTTACTTAACTATTTTACATGTTGTTGTCTTCCCCGTTTCTACTTGAAATAAATATTTTGAGAGATTAAAAAAAAAAGGGACGCTGGGACGATCTCCTCTGAGGCAAGAGAATCACTTCTTCCATTGATAGACTTGTCAAAATACCAGCCAGTGTATTCAGAAAAGGGCAAGGTGAGGGCCGAAGAGTGGAGTTTCACTTGGACCACACCTCGGCTGGCTGGGAATGTAGTGCACAAGGAATTGCTTTGATCCCTGAGGCATCTTGGACACCGTACTGCGGCACATTCATAATAGCGTCCGTTAGGGAGAGATGCCACCTTACAATGGATTCAAAAGTCAGGGGAGTTCCCAGGCGGTCCAGTGGTTAGGACTTGGTGCTTTCACTGCCAAGGGCACGAGTTCAGTCCCTGGTCGAGGAACTAAGATCCTGCAAGCCACTCAGCACAGCCATAAAAAAAAGAAAGCATATAATGGGGCCTAACCTACAAAAGACCATCCAGCAGGTCACTCAGAATTGCATGATTTGTGCTAAAAATAACCCAAAGGTGGCTATTGGACCTCCCCAGATGGGGACCCAACACAGGAACCTGCGCCACTGAGGACTGGACTCAAATGCCTTGAGCTGCAGGAAGTCAAGTCAGCTGAAATGCACAAAGGAAGCTTTGAGTAAAGCCCTTCCTGGGGACAGTGTGGGCCTCAGTGTGTCAAGAACGTGTCTGTCAAAGGTGTTTGTTGTGGCAATGTGGCTGATGACAGCAAGAATGACCCACCGATGGAAGCAGCTGGCTTCACAGCTCAAGGGGATTATCTTGAACCATCAAGGCCAAATCAGTGCTGCATGTGCACCTGTACCGAATTGTCACAGAGCTCACATTGCTTGCAGGTTTGCTGGGCTGAAGAAGATTGATCGTTTGGGGGACAAGCTGGAAGATGGCCCCCTTCTTAATCTGGGGATGCTGCCATCATTGATATGGTTCCTGGAAAGCCCATGAGTGTTGAGAGCTTCTCTGACTCTCCTCCTCTGGGCCATTTTGCTGTTTGTGACATGAGAGACAGTTACTTTGGGTGTCATCAAAGCAGTGGGCAAAAAGTCAGCTGGAGCTGGCAGGGTCACCAAGTCTGCCCAGAAAGCTCAGAAGGCTAAGTGAATATTATTCCCCGATACCTGCCACCCGAGTCTTAATCAGTGGTGGAAGGATGGTCTCAGAACCGCTTGTCCTAATTGACCATTTAAGTTTAATAGTAAAAGACTGGTTAATGATAACAGTGCATCATAAAACCTTCAGAAGGAAAGGAGAATGTTTTGTGGACCATTTGTTTTTGTGTGTGGCAGTGTAAGGTTCTTAGTTTTTAAACTCAGTACTCTTTAATTGGTTAAAGCCCTCCTTGAGGAAATTATCCCCTGATTTGGATTAAGGCATTGGAACTACATTCATCCTGGAGACCACAATCAACAGGGAAAACTGAGAGAGTGAATACTAATTTGACTTGGGATAAGGCCTTACCAGTTGCCCTGCTGTGAATCAGTGGCTCCCAGAAGCAGGCTTAAATAAGTCCCTTTGAAATGTTGTGTGGTAGGGCTTTTTTGAGGTATAAATTTTGAGGGCTTTTGAGGGCTTTTTTTTGGTATAAAATGTGATGGGTTGAGGTTCATTGTTTCTGCATATGGATGTTCAGTGTTCCAGCATAATTTGTTGAGAAAGTGATCACAGAGCAGATCCATTGGGATTGTGTGTGTGTTTGGATGGTTGGGCAGTGGGAGGGGTGATAGAAGTTACTGAAGGGCAGCGCTAAGGAACCCATCTGGGCACCAGGCCTTGAATGTCCAACCTTCCCACAGGCAGTGGACCATCGAGCAGGCTCTGTGAAAGAGAAAACCCTTCCGTGGACCTTGCCAGGCCTCCTGTGGCTACTGTTTAACATCTTGGGTGAAAATAATCTTTTCTTATAACCACTGAGGGTTCGAATACTGCTCCAGGCAGGTTGTGCCAACGCAACCTATATTGATGGGTATATGGTGGGTGGGAGCCCCTGACAGCCTCGTGGACCCCTTGCTGTTGAGGGGAGCCGGGTAAGATGCTGCAACACCTCCCTGCTGGGCAGGAAGGGAGCAGGGTCTGGCAGAGTCTTCAAAGCAGGGTCCAGAAATGAGGGGGCAGGATTCGTTGTAGTCCTTGATGTAAGCAGGGAGGACGAAGCTGGGAGCGCGGAGGTCTGGTGATGTGGGGCCCGCTCTCCCGAGCACACGCTGGCACCTTTCTCTCCGTCGTGAGAGGGCCTTGCGGGGGCTCTGCTTGGCCTTGGTGCCAGCCATTCTCCTTCTGGGATTTCTGTCCCGAGGAAATAATCAAACACGTGGACCAGGCTTTGTTTAGGACGGCAGAAAACTGGCAACAGCCTAAGTGCCTGAGGACTGATGTGATGAAAGACGTTCTAGGCTCATTCTCCCAGTGGAATGTTGTGCAGCTTCTTAAGGGGTGGTGGGAAGGTATACGGCGTGGTCGAGAGAACGACGGTGAGATCCTGTTGGGAGAGAAAAGTGGGTTATAGGACAGTACATATGTACAATGGAGGCATTTTTGTAAATATTAGATGTTCCTGTGAACATACGTATCGTGTTGTTTACCTTAATACTTCCAGAGGCAGTTCCTTCTGTAACCAGCCTTTAATCCCTGCAGCTGTAGAGTCAGGGTTTTCTTTTAATCAGAAGTCCTGCCCTCCTCTCCCAGTGAACCGTTTTTCAGGTCCACTGCCAAGGAGCTAGGAGCTGGGGGAGGGATGTCCGAGGGGCTGCAGAGGAGGGGGCGGGACCAGCAGGAGAAGCAGTGGGGCAGCCGGGGTGGGGGACGCCCCCGCAGGCTGCCGTCTCTGTCCGTGTGTCTGGCAGTGGGGGGCCTTTTGTAGCTCCGTTCACACGTCCTGGCTCCCCACTCTCACTGAGGGCCATTGTCTGCAGGTGGTTCCTTGGGAACCAGTGGGTTTAAAATTTGAACTAGTCATAATACCCTTTATTAAAATGAAAACTTAGGCTGAAGGCCACCGTATAAAACGGATATACATCCAACAGAGGTGCTCTGTAAAGGGAGCTGGTGGCCTGGGCTCAGTCTATCGGGGACCTCCTTGTCTCCACACATACATAGCCATCCCTTGCCTCATCTCTGAAGACAAAGGCCCAGAGGAGTATTCTGTGGCTCCAATCATGAAGCAGCTGAAATTCCTCTGCCCAGGTGATCCCTCGTGGGCAGGGAGCAGGGCTGCTCCTCTCGCGTCCATCCTACACTCAGCTCAGGGCCCGGCCCAGAGGAAGCGTTTAGTAAAACAGCTGTTTGGTGTAATACCTCCACCCAGGTGGTGGGGCACCATCTGGGCCATGTCAGAAGCCCAAAGGAAGTGTGTGGAGGTGGGTGGCTGGCTGACTGGATTCAGAGGTGATGTTCAAAACGTTTAACCACTCAGTGGTCCAGACTCTGATCAGCTATTAGTTGCTACGACAGAAGTGGAATGGGGGTTTCTGGCAGAGGGGCTGGGGCAGCTGAGGCCTTGAGGAAGGCGCTCAAGGCTCTTGGCATTGGTGGCAATTTACCACCCAGGATGGGCGTATTAAACGATCTTAACAACTGATGTGGCTGCATGTCGTCCATGGATGGAATGATGAGTAGAAAGACAAAAGGATAGAGGGACAGCTGGATGGATGGAAAGACAGAAGAGTGGATGGGTGGAAGGATGGAGGATGAGTAGAAAGAGGAAGAGGGATTCCGAGGGAAAGATAAAATACAGGAAGGAATGGAGGATGGATGGAAAGGTAGAAGGATGAATAGACTAGTGGAAAGACGGGAGGGTGGATGGAAGGCCTTTTGCACAGAGGTTAGGTGGGTTCCAGAGTAAAGCCCTGGGTGATGGCCTGGTTTCGGCTCTGGACACCCACAGGTAGTTTCCTGGTGCCCTACATCATCATGCTCACCGTGGAGGGCATGCCGCTCCTGTACCTGGAACTGGCAGTGGGGCAGCGCATGCGCCAGGGCAGCATCGGCGCCTGGAGGACCATCAACCCCTACCTCAGTGGCGTTGGTAAGTGGGTGCTTTCCAGTCCTCTCCCACCTGTGGACCCCCAGACTGTGTTTTGGGCAGGAGAAGGTGACAGTGGGGGGAGTCCCTTGGCAAAGCTGCTGGAGCAAGGGGCAAGCATGAGGCCCCAGAGAGAGCCCTTGAGTGGGGCGGGCAGAAGGCCCAGGAGGGGTGCCATAGAATGTGCACTGAGAGGGGCCGGATTTCTTACCCATGGGACGGTGACAGAGGGAGGATGCACACCCCCTGGGGAACTGATGCCACATTGCTTCTCTGGGGCTCAGTTTGCTCATTTGTAACAGGGAAACAGCTGCCCAAGAAAGGAGCTGTAGCTCAGTGTCCTGGCCAGCAACCATTCTGGGAACCCGTATAACAGCTCCCTCTGTCACTGAGCACCTGCTCTGTGCAAGGTGCTGGCCTGTCTGTGTATGTGTGTGAGCTCATTTAATCTTCATCACACCAGAGCGGCTGTGGGTGCCGTTAACATCTCCAGTGCGTGGAGGCCGAGGCACAGTGGATGGCAAGAGGGGCACTGCTTTCCATCCTGCCTCCCCTGAGTTACTCTGAGCCAGTGTCCGGGGTGCCCGCGGGAGATCTTTGCCCGACCTGTGCGGCCCTCTTGGGCCGGGGCTCCTCTGCTGAACTTTGACCAGCAGTGGCCACGGTCCGTTCTGCTCACCTCTCCCACCCCCCAGGCAGAAAGGGGGACAGGAAAGTTTCGGGAGCAAGGAGGATGTGAACTTGGATGTGACTCAGTCTCAGATGCAGAAGAAATGTGTCCGGTGGCCTCACGAATCACCTCCAAATCGAACTGCCTCCTCATCTTAATATTTAACACAGAGGTGTGTGGTTTTACAACTGGCCCGAGTTATCAATCACAGAGGCCTTCTCTGAGGCAGCATTTGCTGAATAGGAAAAATACCAGATGTTGGTGCCAATCGGGGATGCTCGTGAATGTTTAACAACCAGCTCGGTGGGGTGGGGTGGGGGAGGGGAAGGCCTGGTTGTAGCATTTACTGATCCTGGTGGTGTAACTACTGCCACCACGGCCACCGTCGACTTCTAAGGAGATGTCCCGGAGCCTGGGGTTGGGCAGAGCTGTGCACAGCGGCTCTCGGGGCTGGTGAGGGCCAGCTCCAGGACACTACTGGTTCCCCACAGGGCTGACCAGGTCAGGGGTAGCCCCCATCCCCCCCACTCCTGACACACCTCCTCACGCCATGTTCCCCACCACTGCTGGGCAGGGTTTGGCACAAAGTGACCCAGCTTCAGGTGAGCCAGGGAGAGAGCAACTGTTATGTCTGGCATCAGTGACAAAGTGCTTCTCACACTAGGTGCGAATCCTAGTCGTGCCACTTAATAGGTGTGTGGTCTTGGGCGAGTGCTGTGTCTCAGTTTCCCTCTCTGCGAAGTAGGCATAACATGGCATTTCACAACATCGTTGTGAGGACCTAAGCACATCAAAAGAACATCACAGGCCTCATGCCCCAGAAGATGGGGAGAGAGGTTGTGGAAGAGACTAACCCTTAGGAAGTGCTCGCAGGTGCCAGGTCACAAACCTGGTTTTGCCGTCCCAGGGCGGGCCCTGCAGGCATGTCCTGGGGGCTCTGGGCGGGACCCCTGCTGCCGCATCCAGGCAGGCGGGGTAGGGGCCGTGCTCAGCACCCTCTGCGTCCTGTCCCTGCAGGCGTGGCCAGTGTGGTGGTGTCCTTCTTCCTCTCCATGTACTACAATGTCATCAACGCCTGGGCCTTCTGGTACCTCTTCCACTCCTTCCAGGTGAGCGCACCCGAGCAGGGGTCAGAGAGGGAAAGGGGGAGGGCAACAGAGTGCACACTGCCGGCACATGGGTGGAGCGTGGGGGCAGCAGCCTCGAGGGAGTCAGGAGCTGTCAGGAAGTGGTGCGAAGGGCTGGGGCTGGCTGGGCGCCCCCAACCAAGCGGAGGACTTCTGAGCCAGGGATCCATGGACCCCTGCTGTTGTGTGTGATGTATGTGCACATTTTGGGGGAACAGGCCCATGGCTTTCATCGGGTTCTCTCTGAAGGATGTGACCCCCCCAAAAATATTAAGAACCACTGCAGAGGGGGCCCAGGGGGTAACATGTGGAGAGAACTGATGGGGAAGGGCTCCACCCACTGAGCATAACAGTACCGGCCTCCCTCCTCTTCCCCCTTCCTGCCTCTCATCACTTGTCCTTCTAGGTTTCTGACTCCAGGCTGGGCCCCTCCTTTTCTCTACAAAAGTTCTCCTAGAAGGACCATTGTCACCCCTGTAACACAATAGTAGCTATTCCCAAGATTAGACATTTAAAAAATGCATGTCTGATTATAACCATAGCTGATGCTCATTGTAGAAAATGTGGAAGGAAATGGAACATGTAGAGAAGAGAGGACCCTAATTCCACACCGAGAGGTGGTCTTCATATCCAAAATGGCAACTGCCCATGTTCACGTCTTTTCCTCAGAGTCTGCCTTTCACTATCAGGGACCCCACTCCTGCGGCCTCCTCCCAGATAGGAAAAGAGAGGGAGGAGACAGGAGCTCACGGGCTGGATGCCCTACCCTTTGCCACTGAGCCAAGCCTTCATGGGACAGACCCTACCTCCAAGGCCCAAAAGCTAGATGGGGCCGGTCATGGACTGTGAACTGACCCCAATTTGTGAGGCCAGTATCTGGAGCACTTGGGCACAGCCTTGAATCGTTGGGGCCCCAAGGAATGCTTGGGTTAATGACCTCAATAATCAGGAGTCAGCATCTACGCTCAGAAGGTGCCACATCCACACCCAACTCTGGCTTCCCAGTCCACCCCACCCAGGTCATCTCACTGGAAAATGCCCTGTGCATGTCCCTGACAGGAAGGACTCTGCCCTGAGCATAGCTGTAGCCCCTCATCCTTTCCCTGGCTCAACCTAGAGTTCCATGAAGACTAGCCACAACCTTGCCTGTCCTCGGCCTTCTGGGTGGAGGGCAGCTCCTCTACTCTCCAGCCTGGTAACCATTTCCCTCCTCTGTGCTGGGCTGTCATGTATGGTTGGGCAGGTTGTGCACTGCACAATGCCATTCCAATTAAGGGGTTGCCATACATGTCTCAGGCACTATATGTCTGCATACTTAAGACAGTTTTCCAAAGGTGGAAGCAGTGTGTCTTGTAACAAATCAGGATAATCTGACCATTTTCTAAAGGCAAAAATAAAGTGTCTCAAGTAAGGGAGTACTTTTTCCTATAACCCTCAGAAGTGTGAAAATCAGTGATTCCTGAAAATCACTTGATTATTCATTCCAGCCTTCAGAGATCCATGGGCCTCTCCCTTATCCCCTCTGCCCTGGAGCCTCCTTCATGGTCACATCATAATGATAGTACCTGCAGCAACAGACACTCACTTGCTGTGGACCAGGTGGAGTCACAAGCACTTCAGAACTATTCGCTCGTGTGATCATCACCGCACTCTATGGTGCTGACACAGCGCGTACCAGAGGCAGAGGGGAGTTGAGTAGCTGGGAGGCTGGATGCGGCAGCCTAGCCACAGGGTCTGTGCTCTTGTCCACCTCCCACCAGGCTGGGCTTTCCAGCTTTTCCCTGCGGGAGCACCGGGCTAACACAGATGCAGGGATCCCTGCCTGACCCACTGATTCAGAGGGGGAGAGTCTGGGTGCTGAGAATTGGTCAGTTTAAGTCCTTCTGTACTTTAAAGCTTCTCCATGTTGGCTGCTTGCTGGAATCACCTGGGGGAGCTTTTAAAATTCTGAGGCCCGGGCCCTACCCCAGACCAGTGAAATCCGAGTCACTGGCGTTGCACCCAGGCATCCGAGTTTTTAAAGCCCCCCCTCCCCGCGAGTGATTAAGTCACGTACGTGTAGCCAAGGTTGGCAGTCAGGCTGGGCTGGCAACAGCAGTGGTCCAGTGAATGGACCCAGTCAGTCCCATACGGGCCAGGCAAACCCAAGGGACTGTGGTCTGGGCTTCAGGTCCACAGGGACCCTCCCACCTGACAGGGGCTCGGTGCTGGCTGTCGCCAGACACCTCAGTTCACTCCACATGGCCATTCCTTCCACGAGTCCTCCTCGCTCAGCTGTCAAGCCTGAGTGTCTGTACAGGGCAGCTGGTTTCCAAGAGGGTGAAAGTAACAGTTGCAAGGCCTTGGGATGCCAAGGCCAGGAAGTCACACAGCTTCACTCCACTGCTTTCTGTTGATCAAAGCAAGACACAGGTCAACCCAGGTTCACAGGGAGGGGTAGTGGATGCCACCTTTCAAGAGGAGGAATTGCTGGTGGTCGCCTTTGGAAATATTTTAGGTGGCAGCTAGAAACCAGCTCTTATATTCTAGCAGGTGAGGGGCCCCCTGTTGCTGCCAGGGGTCCTACCAGCATGGGCCCCAAGCACTTTCCAGATGACAGACCTGGGCTCCAGCCACTCATGGGCAGAGTGGCCCTGGCCCATCAGGGAGTGATGCCGTTGGAGCTCATTTCTGTTTCCTGTGAAATACAGGGATTATACCCAATGGGGTTAGACTTGCTTCTGGCCGTGGAGAGTTTTTGTCTAATGAAATCTGATCAGCGAGGGGCTGGTCTTGGCAGAGCAGAGGTGGGACCCCCCAACCCCCTTCCCGCTCCAAGCCAGAATCTACCACCCGCCCCCACTCAGCTCAGAGCTTTTCTTTAGCTCTTGGCCTTGGGTCGTGTTCATTGTACATGCACCATTTAGGCTCTTTTGTTTCTAAGTGACAGAGAGCCCTGTTCAAACTACTGGAAGCAGAAGAGGCTCTTACTGGCTCTATCTACGAAGTCCAGGAGTGGAACTGCTACAGGCATAGCTTGACTCAGGCTCAAAGGAAGTCATCAGTGCTGGGTTGTCTCTGTCTTAGATGCAGAAGACGGCTGTGGTGGGGCTGAACTGCATCCCCCTCTAACTTCCAAACCCAGTGCCCGTTGTAGGAAACGCCTGTCTCCATCACCATTTAGTGAGGGCAGGACCCAAGTCTTATTCATGCTAGGACTCGCTAGGGTCTTGTGGAAATAAACAGACCACCCAAATGAGAGCAAGCAGAGGCTGTCTATCCGGAGCTCGTTAGCAGGAGGTCAGCACCTTCACTTGTATTTGGCAGAAACTCCAGGCAGGACAGGCAGAGGAGCGGGAAATCGTGCTAGTGGGAAACGGAGGGCTGCAGGTGTGCCCTGATTGGAGTGTGCTGGCGTGGAAACTGTAGCTGTGTGATTGGTGAGGGGAGCGTATTTGGCTTTTTCCACTTGGTCCTGAGTTGGAGGGAACACAGGTTTGGAAAGCTGCAGCCGGTGACCGAGTCATGTCCACTCTGGGCTGATTACTGCCGGAATTGTGGTTTGGGTTCCTGGGCTGGTGGCTGCAGAGTTCGTTTGTCAAAGATGGTCTGGCCATCGTCCCTTTGATTTGGTCTCTCAGACCCACCGTAGAGTTCGGCAGATTGGGAGTGTGGAGCCCCTCCCTGCCTGACCCCTCTGCCCAAGCCCCATCCGTGCCCGTGACAAACCCCTCGATTCCCTGTCTGCCTTCAGGGGCTTCAGCTGCCTGCCCTTTGGGGACCAGCGTCCTCTTCCAAGAGCCTCCTCTCAGGGCCACCTCCCGTCCTCCCCACCCCGACCTTTGGCCTCAGCCCTCACCTCTGTGTGTAACGTTTGTCTTGATCCCAAAGGATCCCCTGCCGTGGTCCGTGTGCCCACTGAATGGCAACCGTACGGGCTATGATGAGGAGTGTGAGAAGGCTTCCTCAACGCAGTACTTCTGGTACCGGAAAACCCTCAACATCTCGCCGTCCATCCAGGAGAGCGGGGCGGTGCAGTGGGAGCCGGCGCTGTGCCTCATCCTGGCCTGGCTCCTGGTGTACTTGTGTATCCTGCGGGGCACGGAGTCCACCGGCAAGGTGGGACGGCGGCACGG